CCCCCCCCCCCCCCCCAGGCCAGGCCAGGCCAGGCCCCCGGCCCGGCGGGCGCGGCGAAAGACGCCAAGATCTCCCCCCAAAACTGATCTCGGTCTCGGCAACCGACGCGAAACTGCCTCCCAGGGGCCGGGGGAAAGCCGACACCCGGTGGGGCGCACCGCAGGGAGCTGGACCCTGGCCGGCGCACTGGGCCCACGGAAAGAATACCCCTCTAAAGGGGGGGGACCCCGCCCGACGGAGTGCCCTCCCCCCGGTGAGCCCCGGCGCCGGCCGGGGCATGGCCGCCAGCCCGATGGCAGGGACAAAGCGGCCAGGCCGGGCCGGCCTTAATCGAGCCTGGAATTAACTCGGGCGTGTGCCCGTCACGCCCCGCGTGACGCTGGCCCAAAGTTTAAAAAGCCACACTCGGCCAGGCTCGCCGCACCGGCGAGCCCGCCCACCAGGCAGGCAAGCGCCATGCCGGGCAGGCGCCGCCCCAAAGCCCGTGCACAGGGCCGGGAAGGGGCCAAAGAGGAGAGGAGGAGGGAGAAGGGCAGCAACATACCGGCCAAAGTGCACTGGAGGAGGCATCGATCCGGGCTCCATGCGTGAAGGAGGCCCTCGGGGGCTGGAACGCGCGCGGGCATGCCAAGAAGCAAGGCGCAAGCGGACGGGGGGATGTGGGTCACACCGGTGTGACCCGGGCATGGAATATGGATGAACCATGTGTTAGGGCGACAGCGACTCCAAGTGGGTGCCTTCACAGTGGTCAGACCCCGGCGCCGGGAGGACACCGATGGGTCACATGCATGTGCATGGGGGCGCGCGCGCGCGCGCGCACCAGGATGCGTCGTCATGGCCGTGGCCTGCACGCGAGCGCACACGTTGGCGCTGCTGAGCGCTGTCGTCGGGGTGGGTAGACGCTCTCGACGCCGGGGCACGACGCTCACCGGGGGGTGCCAGGAAACCACGGTCGGGGAGGTGCCAGTCGGGGCAGGCGCCCGGACAGCGATTCAAAGGTGCGAGGGAAGCCGGCGCGGGGCGCGCGTTTCGCAAGCTCCGAGCGGCTCGGCGATCCTGGATGTAGGTGTTGGACGGCCCGCACGGTCGTCAAGGCGTCGGGGGCTCCCGGCCGGCGGCGGAGAGGCGAGCGCGGGCGGATCTGGCGCGGGCTTCGCGACAGGGGCGCTACCGCGGCAAGAGGGGCGTATACGTGTGCAAGGCGCCACGAGGGTAGGGCGACAGCGGAGGATGGGCGGCGCAAAGAGAGCAAGAGGAAGCGATGAACTGGGGTGATGAAGGCTGGCAGGGGAGGCTGGGTCGGCCGGGGTGTGGTTTTTTTTCGGCACATCCCCTTTTCCTGGCCGAGAGGCCCCGAGCACCGGGGTGACCGGCCGCCAGAGCTGCCCGCAAGCCAGCAACAGCAGTAGCAGCTGCTGCTGCTGCAACAGAGGCGACAACAGTGCCGTCTAGAGCCTACACCTGGCCGGCGGGCGGCCTTGGCCGGTGCATCTCGCCCGGGCCGCGCCATGCCCGGGACCTACGGTGCCCTCTCGTCGCCCTCCAGACCGTGTGACACCGCCGAAACTCCCAGCCGGATCCGGCGGCCTGGGATCGGCTCAACACGCATGGCTACGTGCCATGGCCACAATCGTGGGGCTCGGCGGCCAGGAGCCTCTTACCCGCGTGTGCTCGTCCTCCGCCTCCCGCTGGCCAGCCGCAGCCCGGGCAGCTCTGCTCCCGGGCGACATTGGCCGTGGCGTCACCGACGCCGGGCGGTTACGTTACAGGGGCCACCCTCTCGTAGCCCCCCCCTCCCCTGGAGGGGAGCTGAGCTCGGGTGTTGGGGAGCCGAGAGCCGTAGGCTGCTCGCCCCCCTTGCCCCCCTCCCTCCCCCCTGCTGCGCGGGGATATACGCGCGTGCCGCCCGCCACGGCGCCCCGTGGCCCTTTTCTGCGTTGGCCGCCGGGGCTCCCCCACAACTCATGGTAGCCCACAACACAGCCCCTCCACCAAACCCCACAAGCGCCAGGTGCTCCATTGCGATGGGGGGGGTCTATTCACCCGGAGGGCGCCACAGGCCAGGGAGGCGGGGTGACACCGGGAGGGTCATCGCCAGAATGGCGTTCCATTCTTCAATGATGTCTAGCGAGCTGCGTTGGCTCTTCAAGGGCAGGGAGTGCCGACGGATGGTCCGCCAGCCATCCCGTGGGGCACCTGTGGGGTAGGCCAGTGCCGGGATTGTTGATGTGCTCCTGGGTGTGATGCGCGTGGGTGTGTGCGTGCGTCTCACCCCGTTGGAGAGGTCCGAAGATGGATCTACAGATGTGTGTGTGTGTGTGTGTGTGTGTGTGTGTGCTTGTGCGTGTGCGTGTGTGTGTGCACGGCGCCAAGGGGGGAAATAAATAAACACACACACACATACACAGCAAAGGAGAGGATGTGTGAAACCGGGCCAGGGCAGCGGCGGGCCATGTCCCCTGTGTGCCGGCTCTCGACCACCCCCCCCCCCCCCCCCCGGGGGGGAGGGGGGAAGGCTCGGCCTGCGTGCTTCCCGCGTTCATTCGCGGCGACTTCCGCCGCCGAAGCCAAGGCGCTGGAAGAACCGCCGAGCGGCCCCGGGTGACGCGGTCGACGCCGCGCCGAGGCCCGCGTCAGGCCCGGCGTCACCACCGCCCGGAGGCGCCCCGGCCACCGGGGTGACGCCTGGCGGTGGGCTTGTGCTGGCGGCGCCGGGCCCCGGCGGGCCGCCGGCGGCGGCTGGCTCCGACCTGGCCCCGCCCGGCTGGCCGTCCGCACGTAGGCCGACCTGCTGCGCCGCGTATACGGGCACTGCCGCGCGGACCAGGGCCAGGATCGACTGGTACACGCCGTCCGGGGCGTCGCGCGAATCCGGCTTGCAGATGTCAATGTGGTGGGTCGGCCGCGCGGTGGCCGCATAGTACCCGATCCCGGGATTGGCCGAGTCCGCCGTCACGGCCATCAGCCAGCGAGAGCTCATCGGCAGCAGCGAGGCCACATACTCCAGCATCAGCGGCTGGGTTTCGCTCAGGCTCAGGACCATCAGTGGCGGGGGGAGGGGCGCGCGTGCCGGCCAGGAGGACCCCGGGCCGGCATGGGGATCGCCCCCGGCCGGCGGATGGTCCCCCGGTGACGGGGCCAGCAGGCCACTGAGTCCGGCCTGGCGCAAGCGCGCCGACAGGCGCAGGACCCCCGGGCCCGAGGCGCCGGCCGGCTCATCCATGCCGCCGGCCCCGTGGCGCCGGTAGAACCGGTCGACCATCTGCGCCAGGGAGGCCGCCGCGGCCCGGCGATCGGCCGACGCCGGCAAGCCCAGCAGGTCCGCCCGCTCCGACAGGGCGAGCGCCGCCCCGGCGGCAGTCAGCCGCCCGCCGGCCGCCACGCCCGCCGCCGGGCCGCCGGCCTCCTCGCAAGGCCCGGCCAGCACCGGGTCCGACTGCAGGGGCACATGCTGCAGCCCCGGGGCCTCCGGATGGCTGGACAGCCCGGCTGCCTGGCGTCGGAGGGCATACAGCTCGGTGAACCGGGCGTTCAGCTGCGACAGGTGGTCGGCCCCGTAGGCCAGCAGGGCCACATCCCGGCTGGGCATGGCGATCCGCCGGCCGAGGGCCCATCGCGAGGCCCACGCCGCATGGTGTGACCCAAAGTGCGGCGTCGCCAGGAACACCACGCCGACCGTCTGCGCGGCCAGGCCATCCAGCGGCCGGTCAGCCGCACGCGCGCCCCGGCCCGCGGCGCTGGCCACATCCCCACCGACACCATCATCACCGCCGGCAGTCGGCCGGGCGTCGGCCGCCGGCGGCCGGGCCCCGGCGTCGTGGCCCTCCTCCTCCGCCTCCGCGGCCGGGGCCAACATCTCCTTGACGATGAGCCCGCCCATGGAGTGTGCCACGAAGACCACCGAGCGCCCGCCCTCCGGCGGGGCCGCCCACCCGGGCCCGGGCCCGGCCCCGGCTCCGGCTCCGGCTCCGGCGCCGACCCCAGCCAGGCCCAACTTCCGCCGGAGCATCCGGGCCCGGGCCTGCAGCCAGTGTGCCCCGTCGTCGGCCTCCTGCTGCTGGGAGGCGGTCGGGGCGTCACCGGCTGCGCCGGCCGACGAGATGCCAGCGCCACCGGCAGCCGGGTCGCCCCCGGGCCGCGGGGGCACATCGTCGACGTGGCCCGCGCCGGAGCGGCCTCGCAAAAACCGCGACCACGGGCTGGTCAGCGCATCCTCCCAAGACCCGATGGCCTGGCGCAGGTCGCGGAACAGGGAGCCCCCACCGGCCTCCGGGCGATTGGCCGACGCCGGGGCCATGTCCGACTCGACGGCCGCCGCGGCCTCCAGGCAGCTGTAATGGCCATCGTCCAGGGGGGCGGCCGTAGCAGCAGCAGCAGCAGCAGCAGCAGCAACTGCCGGAGCAGTAGCAGGAGCGGCAGCGACACCGGCACCCCGGACAGACGTCGCCCCGGCCGCAGGAGAGCCCGCCACATTGGCGGTGGCAGTGGCCACTGCGGCCGCGGCGACGGCCGCCGCGGCCGCAGCCGCCGCCGGGGCAGGATCCGCCCCGCCACCCGCCGCATTCAGGATGGCCGTGACGACCGTCAGCTCCGGGCTGGTGACATTGGCGTTGGGGTCGCCGCCGCTGGCCGCCTCGACGGCCACCGTGGCCGCCTCCACGTCGAGCGCCGCCTCGCGCCCGGGGGCCAGGGCCGCATTCGGATCGAGTGGGTGCGCGGCGCCGCCACCGGCCTGCTGCTGCGGTTGCTGCTGCGGCTGCTGCTGCGGCGGCTGCTGCGGCTGCGGCCGTTGCGGCGGCTGAGCCTGGGACCGTGCCTGCGGGGGCGACTGGCGCTCCTCCTCCGGGATGGCCCCGAGGAGCTGCACCGACAGGGGGTCGGCCCGGGCCCGGCCGCTGACCGAAGTCTCATACCCAACGGCGATCAGCCGCGGCCGCTCGACCACCAGCTCCTCGGACCACACGCCCCCGCATGCCAAGCAAGCCAGGGTCTGGGCGCAACTCTGGGGATGGCAGTGCCGCTGGGCGTGGGGACCGGCGCGGGCCACCAGCAGGCGCTGCCGGGCTGACAGCGCCCGCGAGGGGTCCCGGCCGGCTGGGGCGTCCTCGTGCCCGGCCGGCCCGGGCGCCCGGGCCGCCACCAGCGGCACATCCCCCTCGCCAAAGTGATACACATACCGGCCGTCGCACATGACGGGGAAGGGGCGCCCCCCGGCAGGGGTGGCCAGACGCCCATCCGGCAGAACACCGCCCGGCAGCAGCTGGGCACCGGCCTCCGGGGGGGCTGCGGCGCCGTGCGGCCGCTCCGGCAGCCCTGGCCCCGGGGCCAGCGGCAGCGCCACCTCCGCATACAGCGGGTCATACATGTCGTGGAAGAGGGCCGCCCCAAATTGCCCACCCACGCGCCATGCGAAGGACAGGCTGGACTGGTCCAGCTGCTCGGGGGTTAGCCCGCGCAGCGGGGCCCCGGGGACCAGGACGGAGGTGGGGCTGTCGGCTTCGGCAGCGGCCGCCAGCCGCCGCTGGCAGCACCGGCACCGGCTGGCTGCCCGGCATCCGGCCCCGGCCGCGTCGTGGAAGCACCGGTGGTCCATCTGCCGGCGGATGCACGCATGCGTCAGGTCATCGATCAGCCAGGCGCACGGCCAGCTGGACACCTCCGGCGAGGTGCCGGTGCCAGGGGCCGCGCCCGGGCCCGACGCACGGCGGTCCCCCCCGCGCCAGGTCCACCCCACGCTGCCGAGCAGCCCATGCACGAACACCACGTCGCAGGTGAGGACCTCGCGTGTGGGGCGCGGCCGGGCCCCGGGCGCCCGGCCGGGCTTCTCCCCGCCAGGGCTCAGGGCCAGCTCGCTCGGCAGGAGCCCGGTTCGAAGGGCCCGCGCCGCGCGTGACCCCGGGCCGGGAGTCCACTCGAAGACGCCATCGGCAAAGAGGGGCCGCAGGCGCCGGGCCCCCGGGTGCGGGCCACCGACCAGCGGCCCGGGCTGGCCCGACCCCAGGGCGATGCCCGCCGAGGAGGCGCCCGAGATGGCGCGACCCCCGGCCAGGCCATTGCCCATGTGCCGGGACATCGGCCCGGGGGCGGTCGACTCCGCATGCCGGGACCGGACCCCATTGGCCGAGTGGCCACCGGTCAGCGGGATGGCGGCCCGCGAGGCGAACCCCCCTACCGCCGCGGCCAGCCGGCGCTCCTCCACCGACAGGGAAGATTCCACGGTCAGCCCGGAGAGCAAGCGAGCCAGCTGGCCGGAAAAGCCCGGGGCCAGGGGCGCCACGGCGGCCGGCCCGGCCGCCGAGGGGCCGGCATCCCCCGGCAGGGGGACCTCCGCATCCCGGTCCAAGAGCAGGCCATCCGCCGGGAGGGTGTGCTCCTCCGCCGGGGGAGCCGTGGCGGCCGTGGCGGAGGCATCGCCGACCGGCGCCACCGCCCCATTCGAGCGCCAGCGCTGGCCAACACGCCGGAGCCAGGCGACAATGGCCGCGGCGGCCAGGCGGTCCGGGCCACGACCGCCCGACTCGGACACCGAGTCCCTCGGGCCATAGGCCTCGGCATCCAGGTCCGCCGACAGGGCAGCCGGGCGATGGAGATGGTGGTCGATGTTCACCAGGGCCCGGCGCGCGTGCAGGCCGCGCGTTTCGGCATTGATGCGCAGCAGGAGCGCCGCGCGGGCGGCCGCGGCCCCGGCCGGGGTGTCGGCCGGCGGAGTGTCCCCCGGCACCGGGGCCGGGCCGGCCGAGGCAATCGACGCCGTGGCCTCCCGATGCCACTGGCGCAGGACCATCATGAAGCCCGGCGAGGCGGCCACCGCCAGGGCGGCGCTCGGGTGCAGGCACAAGTTGGCCAGCAGCCGCGCCACCGCCGTCTCCAGGGCCACGCAATTCCGGTAGAGCTCCACATCGGCCAGGGGCCCGGCATCCGGGCCCGGCTGGGCCAGGTGCGCGCGCTCGGCCTCGCGCCGGGCCCCGGCCGTGGCGAACAGCAACGATCGAACCACCTGCAGGCCGCCATCACGCACAAACCGAAAGGCATATGCCTCGGCTTGCGAGGGGCTGCCCAGGACGGCGCCGCCGGCAGCCTCGTTGTGGCCGTTGCCACTGGCCAGCGCATCGACCCCGGGAGATGATGCCGTCGAGCCCGGCCACTGGGAGGGATCCGCCCCGAGTGGGGAGGAAGCCGCGTCGAACAGATGCGACAGGACATGCAATGCGCGCACCGCATCCAGGAAATCCCACTATCGGGCGAAGGCAATGGGACGAAGGTAACGAGGCGAAAGGTCAGTCGGAGAAGAGGACAAGTGGAAGGGAGGGGATCAAGGGGGCTTTGCTGCGGCCGCTGCTGCTGCTGCTGCGGCCGCTGCTGCTGCTGTTGCTGCTGCTGCGGCCGCTACTGTTGCTGCTGCTGTGGCCGCTGCTGCTGCTGTTGCTGCTGCTGCGGCCGCTACTGTTGCTGCTGCTGTGGCCGCTGCTGCTGCTGTTGCTGCTGTTGCGGTCGCTGCTGCTGCTGCTGCTGCTGTTGCCTCGCTTGCAGGCCTCGCGCATGCGTGCCAGCATACCTGCCACATGGCATCCCCGGCGTCCGGCTGCTGAGCCAGGCCGGCCGCCGCCGAGGCCAGGGCCAGCTGCGCGTCGTCCGGGGAGCTGGACACCTCTTCCAGGGGCTCAGGGCCGCCTTCGGCCACCGGGGCATCAAGCCCCCCGGCCAGGGGCCCCTCCATGCCCGCCAGGTCGTCGGTCGGCTGGCCATCCTCCGGGGCCCACACCGCGTGGAAGGCCCAATCGTCGATGGCCGGGGCAAAGGACTCCGCCGGATAGTGGTGATAGATGGCCGGGGCCCCGGGAGCCTCCGGGGGGTCGAGGGTCGGATCGCGCGACCCGGCGCCTCGGCCCGCAATGCGCGCCGACTCCGAGGACAGCGCCTCGAAGAGGATGGTCCGAACGGTCGGTCGCGTGCCGGGCAGGAGGGTGGCCGCGTCGACCGACTCATCATCCGATGAGGTTTGCAGGAACCTGCCGGCCGTGGCGTCGAACAGCCGCTTCATGAAGGAAACCCCGCCGTCGGAGCCGGCCCCAGCCCCATCCGAGTCCCCATCGGCCGGGTCTTCGTCCAGCGTGGAGAAGGAAAGCTCCTGCAGGAGCCCGGAAAAGAGGCGCCGCACGTCCTCGACCCCGGGCAGAAGCTCGGCCCGGTGTGAGGCCGCCGTCGAGCCGCACCAGGCCCGATGCCGGAGCAAGGCCCCATAGAGGTCTCGGTCGCCGGGGGCCGAACTGCGCGCCAGCAGGGACAACCCCGGCTCCGGTCGGCAGGTGCATGCCTCGGCCAGGGCCACGCGCAGGGGCATGTGCGAGGTGTCCGAAGACAGGACGCTCAGCGGCCGGAAGAGGAACTCCAGATCCGAGGGGAGAGCCGGCGGTCGGGCATCCCCGGCCAGCAGATGCTGGGCCCCATGCCGGCGGAACATCGGATGATAGGCTGGCATTGACAGTCAGGAGAGTTGGGATGGGGGAATGCGAAGGAGGCAACCAATGTCAGGGCAGGTGGGACATCCTGGCCGGGCGGAATAACGACAGGAGCAGGAGCACGAGCACGAGGGGAGAAGAGAGAGAGAGAGAGAGAGAGAGAGAGAAAGAGAGGGACAAACTCGGAAAGTGCCCGGCAAAAATGTGCATACCCAGTCGTGGCACATCCTGCGACCCGGCCAGGAAGGGCAGCAGCCATCCGAGAGTGCCGGTCCGGTGGCCGAAGTCCACAAGCCAGCCGGCACGCAGGGCCTCGGCTGTCAGGGCCCGGTCCACCAGGCGGAAGCCCAGGGCCGAGTCCAGCGGCAGCGGAAGGCTCCGGGCCAAGCGCCAACGCAGCCCTTGGAGCGGGTCTTCGGCCAAGACCCCGGGACCGGGGGGGGTGCGCCGGGCGCCGGGAGGCCGACGGCCGGGGCTCGGCATGGCCCCGGCCGTCTGGATGGCATCCAGCACTTGACGCGTGGAGTCCAAGCCGGGGCGCGGATGGAATCCCGCCACGGGGGGCAGGCCCTCCACCCGGCGGAGCAGGGCCAGGAGGGCCGCCGCCGAGGCGGCCGGGCTGGAAAAAATGGACATCGCCTCGCCGAAACGCGACTCGGCATACTCGATGGACCCGGACTGGAACCACAGCTCGAGCGACCGCCGGAGGCGATTAACCTGCGGCACACATAGGGGCGCCAGACAATCGGCGAGATGCGGAAAAGGGCAACCGGAGGTCAATGAGGGCTGAAGGGGGCGGGGGAAGGGGGGGGACAGAGAGCGAGAAAGAAAGAAAGAAGCGGCACGAGAGAGGGAGAGAGAGAGAGAGAGAGAGAGAGAGAGAGAGAGAGAGAGAGAGAGAGGGCCAAATGTGCACGCATGCACCATCGTGTGTGTCGGTTCACCGGTCCGCGGGCAGGGAGTGCCCAGAACCCGGCTGAGGAAGAGATCCGGCCGGTGGACGAGCAGGCGCCACGCGTCGGCATTCGGGCCGGCCAGGGCAGGATCGCCAGCGCCGCGTGCCCCGGCCACGAGGAGGGCCTCCAGTTGGCGGACATCGGCCTCCGGGAAGAGGGCTGGGCCCGGGCCGAGGGCGGAGGCGGCAGTCGTGCCGGACCCATGCCCCGCCGTGCGTCTCCGATAGAGCCAGTCCGATGCCCGGAGGAAGGCGTCACGCAGGGACGAGGACAGCAGGTCGCCCACCGGAATGAAGGAGGTCGGATTGCTGTCCGGAGCCGGGCTCGGGCCCGGGGCCGGGGCCGGGGTGCCGGCAGTGGACACCGGCTCCGCAGTGCCGGCCGATATGTGGTGGCTTTCCGGCAACCGATCGGAACAGTGCAGGGCTCGGGGAACGGCCGCGGTGGGGGCTGTGGCGGCGGCCAGGAGGAGAGCGAGGCAGAGGGCGGCCGCGCGCCGGTGGCGCAAGAGGGCGATCTGCTGCCTTACCCGGTGCATTTGGGTGGCATTGGGACGGCGCAAGGGGAGCGAGAAAGGAGCGAGAGGAAAGAGAGTGAGCCCGGTAGAGCCGGAGCAAGCAAGACAGAAGAGGGTGGAGGATCTCTGAGGAGCACCCGGGTGGCTGGGGGCAGGACATGGTCAGACAAAAACACCGTGCTCACGGCAATCCAGACTGCCCGGCCCCGGCGGGGGCGCGCGATCGCCGCGCGGGCCGGCGACCACTTTTTGTCTTGGCGGGGGGGGGGGGGGGGCGGGAGCGTGTGGCTCTCGATCAGCCCCTGCCCGGACCGGCCAACAGCGTGACGACTGTCCAAAATGTGTCGGATCTGGGCAACAGATGCAGAGAAGGGGCGAGGGAACGGCCTCAATAATAATATCCCCGACATATGTGCAAATACATCCCCCGCCCCGCCCCACCCCCTTGAACTTCCAGGATATTCTCACGCCGTCCGGGACCCCGGCACCGCGCCAGCTGGGCACAGGGGATGATGATGATGACGACGACAGGAGCCCCTGGCACCGACCACGCCACCGCGCCCACCCCAAGATGTGCGGTCGCCGAGCGCGCGCGCAGCAGGACACGCGTGCGCCTCGCTGGTTCGCTCCGCACCATGGGGCGACATCGCGGCCGGGCGCACACGAGCCGGTGTGCCAGCATGTCCCCC